GCAACATCAATGCATCATCTGGTATAAAAAATTAACAAACTTTTATTTGCGTAGCTTCAAAATACTAATTTAACAGCCGTTTCAAACACCACAGTTGTTGTCACTGGCTGATTAATTCAATAATGTGGAACTACATAACTAACTATTCTCAGGAAGTCAAAGTCGAGTAAGGATGAGGGTAGTTTTGAAATCAGAGGAATGACTGATTGCTGGTTCGTCTTTACCTCTTTACAGGACAGTACTATGACCTGGTGTTCAGGTCCTGTCAAAAACAAGATGCCTGCAATGACAAGAATGCCTCTCCATCCAAGGAGGATCAAGAAACAGATGGTGGAACTAAGAGCGGCAATCAGCATCAAGATACATCAGAGCCTCAGAAGGACTCAGGCAATCTCATCTACACGACTGTTACCTTCACAAATCAAACAGAGTCCAGCATGGCTGTACCCGACTGTGTAGCGTCTATAAAATCATCCTCTAAGCCAAAATCAACAGAAGAATCCACAATCTATAGCAACATCTCAACTCAATGCTGAAGTTAGACAAAGTATTTCTACTGGAACATTTCACTTCTTGATTATAACATGTATTTATTTTCTTCTTGTGATTTAAATATTTTAAAAATCCAGCTTCAAGTTATTATTTAACTTCATATCAGGCATAATGTGTAATGTGAAAATTATATACATAGCAAACAATACATAGATTTTTTTCAGACTGTTTTTCTATTGTATGTGTTTTGTATACATTCTTATTTATATGAGACTGAAACTGAGAAAGTGATATGAGCAAAGAAAGAGGTTGTGGGTTCATTCGCATGTGTCTAACGTAGCTTTGTTTTGATTAAGGTCCCTAGAATAGGATCAAAGCCCTAATTTGAATTTTGACTTGGTGACCTGAAACCTGATGGATTGAAACCAAAGTTTAAAAAAAGACCATTCAGACTCAGACCATTTACCATTTGACTGTGCAGTGAGTGTTGAGCACTGAGCACAACACATCTCTTTTTCCAATGATTTAGAACAGGATTATTGTGTCTAAAATCTTGTTTAAATAAAATCTCTGAAAATAAACAGTTCAAGTATTTCATAAACAACTCAAATTCTGCACATTTGTTTCCTCTTTGAAGATGACTGAGCAGTAGCAACAATTTTGCATGCCTTTTTGACAGAGCTGTGATTGGGTAAGACAACTAGACCCATCAGTCACCACAAGGTCTTTTGTAAGTAAGAAACAGTTTGAAGGAAAAGCAGAGTTATACTGTGAGTCTGAATACAAAATGATGTATATGTGTGCCCCCAGAACCTACTTTAGTGTTTAGTGTATGTAAATACAAATGGACTGCAGCTTGCTGAGAACCTTGTCAGTTTGCCTCTTGCCCTGTGAGAGCTGGAAGGGGCTCCAGGCTGCAAACCATTTTAGAACATTTAAGCTTGTTCTCTACTAGTGATGCGTGAACCATGAACAAATCGTTCAATACTCGAGAATCACTTTACTGACTCATGAATCATGATTCACAAGCCCAACTGACTCACTGACTCATCCCTGTTGCTATTAGCAGCAATGTATCTAGCTTATAATTAAAATTGTGGAGAAAAACACAACATCCAGTATCTTAACAAAAAAAATTCTGCTCTGAACTGGAAGAAAAAACCACACATCAAGAAAATAGCTCCTCAGTTCACAGTAGCATCGCTCTGCTAACATGCTAACAGCACATTTGACCTACTGACCCCCTCCCTTCCTGTGCTGAATCATAGAGCGAACGAATCACTCACTCACCCCCTCCCTCCCGGCTCACAACTTCTTCTTCTTCTTGGTTGGCAACCAATGTTAAGGCGCATTACCGCCCCCTGGTTCACAGCTCAGTGGACATTTAGATGAGAAAATATATATTTAACACATTTAAGGAAAATACTAATAAAATAAAATAAACAAAATAAATGTTTATTAAGCAATTTTGATAGGGAATTGCTTAATTTTAGAAATGTTTTGCTCTTTTTTGCTCTATAAAATAGTTGTTTTCTTTTAGAATCATTCATCTTAGCAGTAGGATTTACATGAAAAGAGAAACAAATTAAGTTTGAGTGAAAATGTAAATTTTTTGCACACTCTGGTCAACTGACTCAGTGAATCAAATGACTCAAAAAAACCGATTCACTTTGGTGAGTGACTCATTAAAACTCGATTCAGTAAAAAGAATCAAATTTACCATCACTATTCTCTACATCAATTAATGTTACCAATCTATATTAATATGACACAATTTAACTCAAATTCCTTCAAGAAAGTG